GAGCTGGCAGACACCTTCAATCGTATCGACCCACACGAGGCGCTAGGCCTCCTTATACCTAAAAACCCTAAACCCGGAGGCCCTAAGGCAGTCGACCAGACCTGGCCTCCCCTGCCGGATGCTCAATTGGGCCTTAGTAATTCGAATAGGGTTTTGGGGTATATTGTACTTGTAAGGAAAAGACACAAAAAAACATTGGCAATTGTTTGCAGACCTCGAGTGCTGTCGGAGGGCAATGGTCGCAACCAGTGGAGCCCATTAGGGGGTTTAGGGGTTTAGGGGTGTAGGGATTGAGGGTTTAAGGCTTTAGGGTTTTTTGACACTCACAGTCGGACAAAGCTTGGCAAGGTCTGCAGCGATACTGGTCAGATGTCGAAACAACAGAACTCCCAGTACGTTTAGGGTTTAGGGTTCAGGCTCAATGCTCGAAGCACGGCAACAAAGAAAAGAAGGATACGGTGATGATGAGGAGGAGGATGGGCACGGGGACGGGGATGAGGATGATGAGCATTCTGCGACTGACATGAGCCAGATCATGACAACAAGACTGCACGGCGATGGTGAAAGGGCAGACGATGTTGCTGTTGTTGCTGCTGCTGAAAATGAGACTTGAAGAAGAAGATGAGGATGCCTCGAACCTCGCAGACCTTTCGATGATTAACAAAGCAAGCCCTGACATCCTTAAGGACATGTTCCAACTGACGCATGTCTGCCAAACACAGAAGCCGAACAGGCAGGCTGCTTTCCTTTTGGCGTAAGCTGAACCTCTGAACGCCATAAACTCCCGCATCGCTAACGCTCAAGAACTCGAAATCGGAGCCAAAGAACAGCTTGGCAAAGGTTGTCCTTCTGTTCCAGCAAAACCATGCTTACGCCTCCCTCAAGCTTTGTCTCATCTCGGCAACAAAGCTTGTGAAGCCCCATGCAATCCTGGCTGACACCTGCAACACTGAACCAATAAATCAGTTTGCACAAGACCCTGAAGTCCTCATATCCGCAACCCCGAAAGCCCAAAGTCTTCTTTAGCCAGATAGGGACAGGGCTTCTGCTGGCGGCGTCCTGGCCGACCACCCGCAGTGGGCGCCGAGGTGGTGACTCAGTGGAGACCTGCTCTAATAGACGCTGTTCGGGTCCATGGCGGTGGTGGTGGCAGTGATGCTGGGCATGGTCGTCGTCATAGTCGTAGAAGAAGAAAGCGTCGTCGTGGTCGTCGTCGGAACAGGAGCAGGAGCAGGAGCTGGAGCAGGAGCAGGAGCAGGAGTAAGTAGTAGTAGTAGTAG